TCCCTCTCAGTCTTTCTCTTTTGTTTTCTGCTTCTCTGTCTCTGTCTGTGTTTCTCCATCTCTACACCGCCTCCCTTCTCCCTCCCTCTCCCTTCTTTCACATGCTCTCTGACAGCTCCCTCGACTGGACAGTTTTCATTTCTTCTTCATCTCTGCATTAGTAAGAGACTGAAAGAATGAGGCCATTTTACTATCACCCTCTATCATCCATGTATGAGCCTGTCTACGTCTGGTCCCAGAGAGTTAGTTTTTGAAGGCAACGCGTGCCCACATTGGCTTCAGTGGAGTCTGAAAACAGGCTGTGACCCATGTAGATGAGGGAACAAATTTAAGCATGGCAACACAACTAGCCCAGACATGTTACTGGAACAAAGAGTATGAGAGGAGGCAGTACTGTGCCTGTTTGTGTGCGCAAGTGGCAGCTCAGCTCTCCAGTGTCAGTTGTTATCTGCTTCCCTGGAGGTCCCAGGGGGTCTTGCTGGCATCCCAGGGTGGTCCTGACTGGGCTGACATTTGGAGGACTGGTCCGTGATGGCCTGTAGGGCTGTTCTGTGCAGCAGCAGTCACAGCTACTGTCCATCTCTGCTTTGCTCCTCTCTACCTCCCTCCCTCTTTTTGGGGGGGTCCTTTGTCTCTCAAGATTTAGTCTACGGTTGTCACACCTTTCTCTCTCTGTCACTTTCCTTTAGGTTTTTTCTTCCTGTACTCATCTTGTTCCATTCCTGTCTCATTTTCACTTTGTCCCCTCTTGCTCTACTGTCTCACATTATACTTCTTTATCTCACATACAAGCACTTTGTCACTCTGCCTATTCCCCCTAACACATATTTCTTCTCTTACTTTCTCTTTCCCGCTCCATGTTTCATCCTCTCTCTCCCTCCCTCTCGGTCGGTGGGGTCACGGTGCTGGGCAGACCGCCTCGAGGGACCCGCCTGCCATGTCTCTTACATGTTGGGAGGCGGGGAAGGAGGGCACAAGACCTCTGCACCAATCAGGCTGACCCACCCGTAGGCTCCACTATGCAGTCAGAGGGAGCAACCAGAGGTCAAATGCTCCAGGAGGACTTATAATGTAGCCATGATGCAGAGTGACATCTACATAGTAGGACCATTGATTTAGTTTTCATCTTTGGGCTTTGTGCTGATTGGAGTTCAGTTGTTTTTTTTCACTAAGGTAACAGTTTTGCCAGTCCACCAAATCAACTGACTGAAAACACTGGATGCCTCTTGGTTGCTGAAAAGTACATGTTGAGAACAAAGGGGTGACAATGAGAGACAAATTAACCTGCAGATATTCCTTCAATGCTTTGATAATTGGCCTCGTTCAGAAACTTTTTAAGAGACGTTTATTTTTGTTGGTACAAAGACTTATGTTTTTTCCCAGAATATTTGGCTAAGGTTTGGATAGGCACAAAAACGGAACAATCATGGTTTGGGTTAAAATACTTTGTTGAGCTTAGGGAAATATTGTGGTTTGGGTTAAAAAAAAACAAACAAAAAAATTTCAATGCAGGCGCCTGTACCACGAAGCAGGATTTGAGCTTATCGAGGTAACTTCGGAGGTTAACCCGAGGTTTTCAGAGATCACACAGAGTGTTTTATGTTTGCTGCGGTGATGTGGATAGCTTTGTGTAGCGATATCATCCTACAGAGACTGATGGAAGTAGGCTACTATAGCCTATAGTCTACTACTTGTTGTTAAAGATATGACATTAAGCCTACTTACCACTTTGAAATATGTTTTATATTTTTTATTTGCTCCCAAGTGCATTTCACACAGCCTGTTGCAGGCGTTAAAATAAATGGGTTTCTGGGTTTTTTTATGTGAGACTGAATATTGTAAGTATATAGTTTGGTAGGCCTATTGTATGTGTTTATTTTATGCGTTTATTTTAGATCAGTAGCTATCTTGTTGGCTATTATAGACACTGGTCATGTCATGGCACCTTTTATGGCATGAATGGATTTTCCTTGCTTAAGAAGTTAATTTAAAATATTTGGAACACTTTTAAGTGCGTTAAATAAATTAATCAGATTTTTGAAGTGGCAAGATGTTCATGGTGTTAGAGTTAGAATGATTACTTATTAAGTACCCCTAAGAATAAGGCTAAAATTGTCAGAGACACATCTATGCAACACGTTCATGGTATAGACTACACTTGTTAATTTTAGGCATTCACACTGTTGGTGATTTTCTGTCCTCCTGCATGTGGCAGCTGCAGCTGTGCTACATGACTACATCTGTCTAATATTACAGTTTGCCCTTGGTTTGTAAAATATGCCATTCTGCTGCCAGTAGACTTGTCCATGTATGCAATTGGTCATCTGCTGCTAATACTGCCTCTTTTATGTGAACGCGCTCATGGCTACATTGGGAAACCCTGGGTTAACTTGCCGAGTTGATAACTAGCTTCGTGTGACCGCTTATGCTGATTGCAATCGTTAGAGCTAGATAACGAAAAGATATCCTGGGTATGTTGAACTTGCTTCGTGGTGCAGGCCCCTGTTTCTCATGGCAAAGTCTGATGTGTTGATGACCCATCCATTTGACCTGACTTCCTCCCTATCC